TGGAAGAAAAAATATTACCAGCTATACATTTTTGGGGAAAAAATATTACCAGCAATACATTTTTGACAAAACAAGATATTACCAACAATAATTTTTTTTTTTCGGCATTAAATAACCCATTGAGGTTGATATGCCGTAAAACAAAACAATCCAAAGACAGGATTTCAAATCTATCATCAACATTGTTCCCCACCTTCTCAACTGTAGTATCTAAACCTTTTTACAGGCGCATATGTTCCGTGTTTATGTGCGTGATCATGGAACCCCCACAAGTCTGTTTTATCTTTTTGCTATATCACCCAATCTGTGTTCGGCCATCCAATTAGACAATTTCGTTAAATAGGTTATCACTTTCTTGATTTTAATTTATCTGTCTCTACATACTGATGGCCACTTTGTTCAATAGTAAAGTCCAATAGTATTATGAAAAACTTGCAGAATTCCAGTAAGATATCTTTAATCATTTCTAGTTTCAAAATCTAAAAGGAATTGATTTTTTTTCCATCTCTTCAGATAAGACATTTAGCCATCTTGACACCATTTGTCATAAGAATCACTGAAAAAAACCCAGTTGAGTTATTCAGCTAGAAAGAGTACCGGTTAAAATCATCTTGTGCCAGCCCCACTATGTTTTCCCAACTGAGCAATGGCGAGAGGAAAAAGATCATTCACGCCTTCAGTAATGTTACCAACATTCATAATCTGGCTTCCATCTTCAAAGTTCATTCAAGATCCATGAAGAGAATGGTGAATAAGTTTAAAAGAGGAAACAGTAGAGAGGAAAAAGTGGATTAGGAGGTCACAACAGGAATAGGGATCATCATTTCAGCTTAGAGCTAACTATATTTGTTCAAAGTAGAGTACAATAATGTTATGAAAACCTCTCAGAATTCCTGTAAGATATCTTTAATCATTTTTATGATACAACGGTTCGAATTTTAATTTAAAAATTGGACAATTTTGCTTTTACATTCAGTATATACGAATGCCGCGGCAATATTTCACGGCAGACTTAGGAAGATCGTGCTTCACCCTGGTGTACTGTGGCACGGTGGTTAAGAATCATAGGCCTCGTCAGTCAGGAATTAAAAGAGACATGATCGCCCAAGTGTGTATCACGTATGGCACAACTGACTAGAATAGAAAGTTTAACAAAAATAAATTAACTCGGGGTGTATTTCAATTCATCGGTCGGCACAAGCTGAAGAAATATTTTTCGAAAAAAAAAAGGGGGGGGTGATTATTCAATCGGAATCAAAATGGCAGAAAAAAAAAAAAAAGGCGCCATTATTTTTATGGATAAGAAGAATTATATTTAGGCTCGTTTCGAACAATACCGGGTCCTGGTGATTCCAACCATGCAGCAGTACCTCCCTTGTTACACTAAAGAGAGGCGGGGGTTAAATATTGGCGCCAACGTGACGGTGGTCTCGCGGGAGGTGGTGGGGGTGTCATATCCAGTTCGGGGTACGTCATCGAGTGCTCCATATTAAATCTGAACGTATGTCACATCACGCCGCCATGCAGAGACAGACAAAATATATCCTTACGCAAATTAAGAAAGAAAAAGAAAAGAAAGAAAAGAAAACACAAACTTACATTCACAGTTTGGTTCACTTGACCATGTAAAGTTTTTCTGGCATGTCACGTTTGGATTTCCATACAGTTTGAGTGTCTTGTAACATGAAACCTGGATGATGGTCCCAACTGAACGGTTGTAGGAACTTAACCGAAGTAACTTGAGATTATCTATTGTAAGGATTGCGGGATTTGACGTCAAGTTGTTTAAACTTGGACAAGTTGCTGCAAAAGAAATATAAAAATATTAACAATCATGCTGCCAGACATTTTGAAATAAATAAAGACATTATAGACAAAGTTCAAACTTTAACATTTTCACTGTGTATTCCAAGCACTTCAAATATCTCAGTGTATGAATCAAATATAGGAGTAATTGAACAGATGATAGTTTGCGCTAGTGATTGTGGGATTACTCGACCTTGATGGCCAGGGGACTTGGCTTAACACTTGGCGACGATGTATTAAGCGGTAATAAAAGGAAAGGGCTCACACACTGTCTCTGTTTTTCTTTTTCAGTCACAGTAGGTTCAAGACGAATCCAGGCTCAACCTCCTGGAAAACAACAGTCGGCAAACCGACTTCTTAATGTCAACCAAACCACGTGGCTCATGACATAATGTAATATTTTTTTTTTAGCTATGTCTGTTTACATGCAAGTATATTTTCCCTTTTTTAGCCATATTGTTCTGTGTATAAACATTTATAAAAAGGATCTACTACATGTTGAACTCATTTATTTTGAAAGCGTTTCGACCGAAGCCGTTACAATTCCTAACCCTTTCCACTCCAATTAGCAACCACAATAAAGAGTACTTTTGTTCATCACCGAAAGATGATAAAGAACTAAAACATAGTATATGAGAAAGAAATTGAAAACAGGATAGGTTATGTAAGGGGTAAAATACTGCACCATAAAATGCTACTGACCGAAAATACAGACTTGAAGACTCGAGATCAAATCCAGTGACAGGATCCAAAAGAGTGTGAGTTCAATACCTGGTAAAGGAGGTGGAGAACATGAAGAGGGGAATAACAGGAGATAACTGACACCCATTAGACATGGCACATGGAACTAGAACAGTCTGCCCCAGCGAGCGAAATAAAGGGTTCATTTCGACATTTAACCACCTGAAGAAAGCCGGAGCGTACAACGGCCGAAACGTTGTGATAAATATAGCAACAAAAGATGAGGATGATAGTCCGAACAATGTAAATAATGTAATGAGTACCTAGGTTTATGAAAAGGTTTTTGACACAATGGATGATGATATTGTCGAAACGAGGGTATTTGGTTTCGGGTCTTTTTCGAACATTCCATCTTCTTGCAAGGATATCATGGAACTATCTTGCTCCCCTCGTAGGGAGGTCATTTGTCTAACTTCCCGCTGAACGGTTTTCATGTGTGTTTATATACCCAAAGGTCATTAGAGTTCGCGCCATTGTATATGTTGAGAAGGCACAGTGGTGTAATGGATAGCGGCTTGGATTGAGGAATCGGAGAGCAGAGTTCGAATTCCAGTCGAACCCATTACATTCACTTACGTGCTAATACCCTTGGGAAAGGTATGAATTCTCTTCTCCCCTCAGCTATGGTTAAATAGAGGGACAGACTGGGTTCTATAGCCTTGGATGGCAACTGGTCTAGGAGAAGGACAATACTGAATTCAAAACCTGCGGAGGGTCATTTGGGGACCTTGTGGCACATAGTGCACCAGGTCTCTGTAATCAGCCCTTCAAAAAGTGTGGATGGTCCTGCACAAAACCTTCACCGCTATAATCAAATCTCATGTGCTATACATGTGGGTTGGGGACCGCTTGTGAATTCCAAATTCCCATGAAACTCCAATATTGGAGCCGGCTCAACCCACCTCGGGTGAATGCCGTTACAAGAACATGTTGGTGTACCTGCTGAGCTTGAATCGGGCTACACCCAAATATAGAAACGAGATTTGCAAATGAAAGAAAATGTTGCGCAAAATAAGAAAAACTGAAAAGGTCCCTCTTTTACTGCGGTTGAAACAACGACTATTGACCCCCAATCATAGAAATATAGGGAATTACCTCAGCAACTCTTTAGACTAGCAGCTTTAAATTGACAATCTTAATTCATTCAGGATACCCCCCCCCATTATTGTGGTCTTGTGCCAGGCTATACCAATTTCAGTTGATAGTTACGACAAATTTGTGTCACTAGGCAAATTTTATTCCCGTAAGGAAGGGCGAAGAAAATCAAAGGAAATGCGGAGGTGAGGAAGGAAGAAGAGAAAAAAATGCAGAGATAAGTCTGAGAGAGAGGGAGAGAGAGAGAGAGAGAGTGAAGGAGAGAGAGAGAGAGTGAAGGAGAGAGAGAGAGAAGGAGAGAGAGGAGAGTGAAGGAGAGAGAGGAGAGAGTGAAGGAGAGAGAGTGAGGGGGAGAGAGAGAGAAAGAGCTAATGATTCCAACTAAAAGCAATGACAAAAAATAATTACTTCCTGACACATCAGAAGGAAAAAAAAAGGTTTGAAAAATAAAAATGTTTTAATAATAAAGTTTACTATTGTTTCTTACTAAATGTTATTTACTTTTGTTTCAATTGTCTAATAATTCTTCTTTTATCGTTGTATAACGTGTCTTATATAACAGGATTTCTTTGAGAGTTTTCAAAGACCTGAAGTTTCAATCGGATAAAATTAGATCAGAAACCGGCTCACTTAATAGCTGCAGCTTTCCTTGGACTAGATGAACAGTTTTGTTTTTGTTTTATTGAAGGCCATTTTGACCCACTCAACAGGAGAAATGGCTTATAATTCATTTCTTTTTCAGAAGGATTTAACAAAGAAAAACAGTCACTCGGGAAAGCTGTTAAGAGTCAAGCAAAAGACATTGATCGGCTTTCTGGCTAGAGCATCTCTTTGACAATGCAGATTTTTCTTCAGTTCTTTCTCACGATTAATCAGCTTCATTCCAATCGCAGATGTGATTCAGTTTTTTTCTTCTTTTGTTTCTTCTGGGAAGATTTGGTCAGATTCATCCAATCACTAATTGCTTTCTTTTATTTCAATCTTTGATAATTATTTCCTCGAAATTCTCCACCAATAAACCTGATATTTTGTTTCTATCAGACTAAGCGCAGATTTTACAAGAGCATTTTTGTAATGCTTCGTTGGTTGATTAAGTCCATTTTTACGGACTATCAACCCTTCTCAGGTTATTTAAAGCAAGAAAATTTTACGTTTTTTTAGATTTTCTTTTTAGAGACAATAATGGTTTAGTAATACAAGTTTTACTAATTAACCCATAGTTGAGGAGAAGATTGGATTCATACATTTCCTTAGGGTAAATTGCGTGTGAGGGAAAATATAACCCGAATGAAATTCGAACTCGGCTCTCAGATTAAAAATTACGAATCATTATCAATCACACCATTCGAACACCTAAGCTTACAGCACCTAGTGTTCTCAAGAGGTCACCCATTACTTAGGTATTGACCAGGCTCGACGTTTCTTAACTTCGGCGATCGTACGGGAAGTGGTGTTTCAAAGTTATGACCATAAGACGCTCCGGAGTACGGGTAATATTAAAAGGGCTTTCCTGATGTTTATCATATGTGGCCATGAGGGTAAAATGAGTTTATATTGATGAAAGATTATAAATTCAGAACTAACTACTTAACTGGGCATGACGATAAATTATATCTGGCAGCAAGTCCTCTGATCGGGAGATGGAGATTTTGAGGAGCGTGGAATCACCTCTTAATTGCTGTTGATCCCAGGTTCTCCCTGACCCGGGGTGGTAGCACCTCTTAGGATCCGAAACAAAAACAAAAATTACCAATATACACATACTAACAAATTGTAGTGACTTCAGACTTCATCGAAATCTGTTTAAAATACTACCAAACAACCAATATATAAGAACTTTTTCATGACATTCATCCATATAATATCCTACAATTTCTTAAAGACGTCAAACTATATTCCAAAATATAAATTCAAAAAAAAAAAAAATAAAAATAAAAATAAAACCCTGAAGATCTTCAGTTTTTGAACTGGGATATTAATTGTTCTTAACTCCTAGACATTTTAATTCCAGGAAGAATTTCACTTCTATGTCGCTTTGTACGTGTTGTCATCTTAATGCATAAACGTAGTCCTGGGTATGACGATAAACTACATCCGGTAGCAAGGCTTCTGATCGAGAGATTGGAACTTTTGATTAGTGTGGAATCACCTCTTAATTGCTGTTGTTCCCAGGTTCATCCTGACCTGGAGTGGTAACACCTGTTAGCAAATTGTGAGCCTCCCTACAAAGAAACACTAGGAAAATATAAAAATACCAACAATACATTTTCATATATAATTTTTTTTTTTTTTTACTAACAATACATTTTATCTGTAGTTGAAGGCATATAATTGCGTTCAAAATAGTTAGATTTCGGCATTAAATAACCCATAAGGATGTTGATAAGCCGCTAAACAAAATCAACCAACCAACATGAAAGAACTCTTTCATGACATTAATTCATATAATATCCTATAATTTCTTAAAGAAATCAAACTATTCTAAAATATAACTTCAACAAAACTACAACATAAAACACACCTATCACCACCGCTTCTACTGATCATGTCCACGTGCAAAAAAAGCTGTGTATAATGTATTCAATTGTGAAAATATTTTTATTACTTCCCAGCAAATTAAATTTCAGAATTAAATAACTCATAAGGAGTTGATATGTCGTTAAAAAAACAGACAGACAAATCGAAGTACTTCAGAAAATATTCCTGATCATGATATAAGCAAAGCAGATTAAAAGGTGTGACTCAAAATCAGAAATAAAAGTAACTCCATTAATACTATGACTCACTTTTGAGTTCATAAACAAATAAAATCGTTTGTAATTTCCACAAATATTATTACACCCAAGAAAGTTGCCAGACTAATCCTGAAAGGTTGACTAGCATCATGGTAAATTTAGAGTTTCTTTTTTAATCATTTCATCCAAATAAGGCAACAAAGTCACTAAGATGCAATGACGTTACTGAGTGTGGAAGAATGAGAAGAAAACTTAAGGAGAGAGAACAATAAAAGAGGAATTAAGATAAAAGATAACGATTGAGATTGCATTTAAATTTTTGAAGATCAATGTTGACTTGAAAGCAAGAAGGCAGAAGTGAGTTCCACATGTGAGAAGTGTGAGAGAAGAAAATGTTATTATAGAATTTAAAGTTCCATCTATTTCAACTAAAAGAATGAAGATAACTTGTCGGCAATCTAGTATTGCGCTTAAATTCATATTGTCAAGGTAGCAATCATTTTTTTTCCATACGGGCTTTATCATAACACATGAATAAAATAATGATTCATTATGGCTTGTGTAGAAAGTGAAAAAAATTGATTGAATCGAAAATTTGAATTAGTGTTCATTTTGAAAATTAAAAAAAAAAATCGAGTAATTAAAATATACTAATTTCATTTGTATACTAAATCCAGAGACGGATATGCAATGTGTTTGGCCCTGTTCTGGCATCTCGTCTACAGTCGCCCTTTTACAGACGTGCCGTCGCTTCCCTCTGTCTTTTCTACAAATATTTTCACGATAACTGCTCCGACAAGCTACTTTCGCTGGTTCCTAAACTGCATGAATTTAAACATGCTACTAGGTTGGCATCTCAGTCCCACCCTTTTGCTGTCAAAATGGTTAACTGTGGCCGTCTCTTCAACTCTAATACGTTCATGTCTCGCACTTCCCGTCTGTGGAATTCCCTGATACCTATAATCTCCAACTATTCAAATGCAATGTCAATCGACATCTTCAGATGCCTTGATCTATTCCCCGTCCTTCTCTCCATCCTTTCCTCTATCACGCCTCTTTACTTTTGCTCCTACTCTTTGTAATCCCTCGCGTGCTTGTGGCACTCTCACCTTACTTGGGTTGAAATGATTAATATATATATATATATATATATATATATATATATATATATTATAAATTAATTTAAAATGTTTTTTTCTAATTTTTCAAAATATTTTTTTTTTTTTTTTTTTTTTTTTTTTAAATAAGTTACTCTCAAAATTCGCTTGAGGATGAAATGGAACTAATTTTTTTTTTTTTAATTTTAAATAAGTTAAATTTGAAGCTTTTTAACTTCCATTTTTTAACAAACATGGTTAGAACTTTGTAGCGAAAAAAAACATATTTTAAATCAATTAATTTATAATATTACTTCTCTGTAAATTTGCATTGAGCACTATTTTGTAAAAATAAAAATATCTATAAAAACACTGGATTATATATCTTACTGTTCTTTCTTTTATTTATATACACACTATATATATATATATATATATATATATATATATATATATATATATATATATATATATATAAATTTTATTTCATATGTTATATTGACTTGCTTTGGGTACCATTTATCAGTCTTCGTCATAAATTTCCTTGTGTTTTTTTTAATCATTTCACCTCAAGTAAGGCAACAGAACCACCGGGACAATCATGAGTGGAAACTTGGAGCCTTAAACCTAACCTGCCTACTTCTGCTTGACTGCACTCATTGAGACTTCTCTTTTCACTGCTACTGCTGAGCTTTGTTGTCATTTCTCTATCTATTAACATAATTTATGAATGTAAACAATGATAACTCCTCATCCAGAAATCTATACAGTTATCTGTCATAAGAGATTTAATAAATCTTATCGTTACATTTTGAATAGTGACATGGTATGAATACGAGAATAGAATTAAGACAGAAGATAATGATTGAGATTGTATTTAAATTTTTAAAGATCAAAGTTGACTATAAAGCAAGTGAGTTCCACAAGCGAAAAGTGCGATAGAAGAAACTCTTATCATAGAACTTGCAGTTCCATCCAACCATTTCAACTGTAACAATTTAAGGCAATTTAAGGTCTAAGTTTATAATGTCTACAACAACCAATGAAAGTGTTTAGAGATAGAGATCCCAACAACTAGATGAACGATGAAGAGAGTTTAGAGACAGACAGACAGACAGAGAGATAGACAGACAGACAGACAGACAGAGAGATAGAGACAGACAGACAGAGACAGATAGAGACAGACAGATAGAGAGAGAGATAGAGAGAGAGAGAGAGATAGAGAGACTATTTTACAGCGGTGGGGAAGGGACTGAAATATTAAGGTTTGATTGGATGTTCGAAACCTCCTCGGTATGAACAGAAAAACTGAAAATATTTGCTTCCAATTACTGTATTAATTATAGTAATTCTGGGGGGAGGGATCAGTTTATTACTTCACGACAGCAGAAAATCGAACCCCCATTTTAAGTTGTGTAAAATCCTATTATAATTGTGCTCTCCTTTCGTTAGTTCGCACGACCACTACACACAGAGACAGAGAGAGACATCCTGCCAATACCTCACAAATAATGGGCTATTCCGTTTTGATCGCGTAGGAAAAAAAGAAAAGTTATTATTTGATTTCAATGAGGAAGGAAAGAAACGGGAAAGTTGTCACCTTCAACCCTTTTCATTTGTATCCCCTTACTTCTTAAAATAACGACCACCATTCATATTTATGATTGTTATTGTAATGTTTTGTTAAAGTTGATAAGCTCAAATATTTAACGATGCGATAGCGGAATTTCTACGGAGATTTTATTGTCGTAGAATTCACCATTAGCTCTACCCAATCATTAACTTAATTAAGATTCATTAAAAAATATAAACAGGAAAAATCGTGAAATTTTCACTTGTTAAAACTGGTCTTATATTAAGACTAGTTTTATGGTCACGTGCTTTTAATTCAACCAAATATTGTAACTAAAACCAGAAACTCCATTGAGTTACTTTTCAGGTACAGTCATCCCTCGATTAATGCATTTAGGTTAGTGCGCTAAAAGTTTTATTTACGGAAATTCGATTAGTACCTACATAATAGTCGGTTAGTGCAGTTAAAAAAAATTCTTCAGTATTGTCGTAGTAATTGAAAATTTATTTATTTTTTTTTTAATACCTACCGATGCACACATTAGCCGCACTAATCGAGGGATTCCTGTATTCAGAAAGCAACTTGAATAATCATGAAAATTTGTCTTACCACTTGCGGTGTTTACTCGTTCCCCCACGAGGACGAGATGCGACACAAGGTCTTTTTAAAGTAGGGACCCGCGCGCGTACATCCGGGTAAGAGACAAAAATTGCCCTCAACCCCCGCAACCGTCGGTTGTGCTAGCCTCGGTGCGAGCACCGAACCCTCCCTCTGGTGCAATGGGAGGGCGCCGACTCGGGCAGCTGTTCCCCAGGGTGGGCACCTCTTCAGTATTATTTTCCTCAGTTGCCCCTCCGTCCTTTGACAGAGAAGACACTGAGCGCGCTCTGCCTAACGACAGAGACGCATCTCAGAGATGATAAGTAGACATGTAACTACTTCATAAGAGTAAATTACACGCGATATTTACTCCCCCCCACTGGGATGAGATTTAACACAAGGTCTATATTTAGGTGGGGACCCGGGCGCGTACTCCTGGGACAGTAACAAAAATTCCTCTCAGA